TAGTAATGCTAATTTTTATGAGTACTATTAAAATATTATTATTTTTGCCAGTCCTGGGGCTTGAACTCAGAGCTTGGGCACTGACCCTGAGCCTTTTCTGCTCAAAGCTAGTGCTCTATCACTTGATTCACAGCAGCACTTCTGGCTTTTTGGTGGCTATTTGGAGATAAGGAGTCTCACAGATTTTCTTGCCCAGGCTGGATTTTAAACTATGATCCTCAGATCTCAGCCTCCTGAGTAGCTAAGATTCCAGGAATGAGCCAGTGTTGCCTGGATCCCTTTGCTTTTTTGCTCAAGGCTGGTGCTGTACCACTTGAGCCACAGCTCCACTTCTGGCTGTTTGCTAGTTAATTGGAGATAAGAGTCTCCTGGACTTTCCTTCCTGGGCTGGATTTGAGCCACAATCATCAGATCTCAGTCTCTTGAGCAGCTATGATTATAGGCATGAACCACTAATACACTGCTTAAAAACACATTTGCTATAATTAAAATTTTAAATAATTTCAAATAAGTATTTATTGAAAATTCCAAGTAATGATGAGAGTACAGAATAGCCAGCTCTGGATGATAAAAATGTAAAATAGCACAGTCACTATACAAAACAGCCTGATGAGCTGGGCTCCCGTAGCTCACACCTGTAACTGCAGAAACTGTAACTATTCAGTTGCTCCATACTGTGCAATTGGAGATGATTGGATTATGTTAGAAGCATTCAGTTTTAGAGTATATGAAAGAATGAGTGAGAAAATGCTGCTTAAATATCCAAATTATTGGAAACAAGTTATTTGCCAGGTGCCAGTGGCTCACACTTGTAATCCTAGCCATTCAGAAGTCTGAGATCTGAGGATCATGGTTCAAAGCCAGTCCAGGCAGTAAAGTACATGAGACAGTTATTTATAATTAACTACCAGAAAACTGGAAGTGGTGCTGTGGCTCAAAGTGGTAGAGCACTAGCCTTGAGCAAAAGAGGTCAGGAACAGAAAGCCCAGGCCCTGAGTTCAAACCCCATGACTGACAAAAAAAAAACTGATAGTAGCTGGGCACTGGTGGCTCACACCTGTAATCCTAGCTACTCAGGAGCCTGAGATCTGAGGAATGCAGTTCAAAGACAGGCAGAAAAGTCTTTGAGACTTATCTCCTCAGAAAAAGCTAGAAATGGAACTGTAGCTCAAGTGGTAGATCACTAACTTTGAGCAAAAAAAAAAAAAGCTTGGGGATAGTTCCCAGGACCTGAGTTCAAGCCCAGGACCAGCATAAACAAAACAAACACAAAAAAGCTACAACCACCACAAAGACATCCTGACAGTTTCTTATAAAACTAATCATATGCTTATCACATGACACAGAAATCCCACTCCTATGTGTTTACCTAAAGGAAATGAAAACATGTCCACACAAAGGCTTCTAGTGCATGTTATTGGCATCTTTATAATAACTCTAAATTGGACACAATCCTGATGTCCCTGATCAGTGTTTACATATGAACTCTCCAAACTCACTATACAAACAGGGCAAAGCTGCACTCCAAGGGGAAAACTCTGTCTGGCAATAGACTCTTAACTGGCCAGCAGAGCAACAGCAGACACAAAAATTGAGAGAGAACTAAGAAAGGGAAAAAAAGAGAAAAAGAACAAGCAAATAAATGTGAAAGAAAAGTAAAGGATAGAGACAAACAGGTCTAGGAGATTTCAAAAATTAATTCACCATACTCTTGAACAATTCTTAAAAGTTATATAAGAGGAAATTCTACAGTCATGAAATTAGGGAGGAAAAAAAACCCTTACTTATATAACTGTAACCCTTCTATACATCACCTTGACAATAAAAATAAATAAATAAAAAAGAACCCTAACTAACCTAGGTGAATTTTCTTTCTAAAAGTTCAGGGAAGCTCTTTTATGTAAAAATGTAAAAAACAGAATAATACCTTGCAGAATTAAAACATGCCAGAAAGATATGTCCACAAAGATCAATGGGAAATATAACCTATCATTTCCAAATGCTGTTATAAAAAATTACATGATATGAGAAAATGTAAATGACAGGGAAGAATGCATAAAAAGTCAGAACTAGTCAGGTGCTCGTGGTTTATAACTGTAATACTAGCTACTTGGGAGGCTGAGACTGAGGATTGTGGTTTGAAGCCAGGCCAGGTAGGACAGTCTGTGAGACTCTTGTGTCTAATTAGCCACCAAAAACCTGGAAGTAGACCTGTGGCTTAAGTGGTAGAGCACTAGCCTTGAGCACAAAAGCTCAGGGACAGTGCCCAGGCCCAAAGTTCAAGCCTCAAGCCCCAGGATCAGGACAGATAGATGGACACGGACACACACACACACACACACACACACACACACACACACACACACACACACACACACTTTATCTGCCTTTTTACAGGGGGCCTACTTAATAGGTGTGTTGTCTCTGAGCTAGTTCAGCCAGAAATTGTCATTTTTTTTTAGCATTAGCCACTCTACTAGACGGGTCAAGGTCAAATAAGTTGTGTATGTATGTGTTTGTGTATGCATGTGTGTGGTGTACACATGTATATGTGTGTCTGTGTGTGTGTGTGTGTGTGTGAGCTGATCCTGAGGCTTGAATTCAGGGCCTGTACACTATCCCTAAACCTCTTTACTCAAAGCTAGTGCTATACCACTTGTGTTGCATCTCTACTTCCAACTTTTTAATAGGTGGAGCTGAGCCTCAAAGACTTTTCCTGCCTAGGCTGGCTTTGAATAATAATCCTCACATCTCAGCCTCCTGAATGGCTAGGATTACAGGTGATAGCCACTGGCACCTAGCAAATAAGTTGTTTAGAGTAATTTGGACATTTTGACCAGCATTTCCTCTCTCTTCATATACTCTAAAACTGAATACTTCTAACATAATCCATTCATCTCCAATTGCACTGTGTGGAACAACTGAATATAGTTTCTCTTGTTTCTATTTTGTATATCTCTATTTCTTCCTATAAGCTTAGTAAACCATAGAACAGATAAAAGGATCTTAGTCATGGTCTAGTGCAGGGAGTGGCAAGCCATTTTAAATGAAGGCCCAGGTAGTAAATATTTTGGCTTGTTAGTCTCTGTCACAACTTAAGTCTGCCATTATAGCATGAAAGCAACCACAGGCAATACAAAATGAATGTGTATATTCCAATACAACTTTACTTGCCAAAGCAGGCAGCTTGGTAAGTGGCCCATAGTTTGCCCACTCCTGCTTTAGTGCAACAACTTTGACACATGAGATAACTGAGCTCAGAAGACCAACCAGGATGTTGAGCTTGCACTATATGAGACCAGTTTGAATTGGGTTTAAAACAACCTTGCTTTATGCATATTACCTTGATCTAACAAACAATGTTACATAAAGCTGTTGATACAGAGGCTTTCAAAAATTTTAATTGCATAAACACTTTCAGGACATCCTACATACTGCCATTTACCTGAGTGTTAATTGGTCTTTTTTGAGCTGTCTTGGGGTTTGAACTTGGGCCTTCACACTTGCTAGGTATATGCTCTACTACTTGAGCCCTTTATTGACTTGAGTCTATAATATCTCTAGAGCATTGGTCAAATTTCAGTGGAAAGAAAGTAAAGAAAGATCCAAGTACTGGGAGAGAGCAAAGGAAGGGTGACACCGTGCATAAAGAAATGTACTCATTAGGCTGGGAAGGTGGCTCAGTGGTAGAGTGCTTGCCCTGCATTCATGAGGCCCTGGGTTCTATTCCTCAGCACCACATAAGCAGAAAAAGCTGGAAGTGGCGCTGTGGCTCAAGTGGTAGAGCGCTAGCCCTGAGCTGAAGAGCTGAGAGACAGTGCCCAGACCCAGAGTTCAGGCCCCATGACCGACAAAAAAAAAGAAATGTACTCATTACCTTACTTATGTAATTGTAGCCCCTTTCTTTGTGCATCACCTTTATAACTTGAACTCAGGGTCTGGCCTAGTCCCTGGGCCTCTCTGTGCTCAAGGGTAGCATTTTGCCAGTTGAGCCACTGTGCTACTTCCAGCTTTTTCTGAGTAGTTTATTGGACATAAGAGTCTCATGGACTTTCCTGCTTCATCTGGCTTCTAACTGCCATCCTCAAATGTCAGCCTCCTGAGTAGCTAGGATTACACCTAGATTACTGGCTCCTGGCTAAAAAGTTAACTTTAAATAAATAAATAAATATAAGAGAGAGAGAGGAAAAGAAAGAAAGAAAGAAAGAAAGAAAGAAAGAAAGAAAGAAAGAAAGAAAGAAAGAAAGAAAGAAAGAAAGAAAGAAAGAAAGGAAAGAAAGAAAAAGAGAGAGAAAGGAAAAGGGAGGGAGGGAGGAAGGAAGGAAGGAAGGAAGGAAGGAAGGAAGGAAGGAAGGAAAAAAGGAAGGAAGAAAGGAAAGGGGAAAGGGAAAGGAAAGGAGAAAAGGAAAGGAAAAAGGAAAGGGAAGGGGGTCCAAGTGAGTCTGGGAAAGGTGGCTCTCACCTGTAATCTCAGCTACTCAGAAGACTTTAGATAGGAGGACTTACAGATTGACTACAAACCCCAGGCAAAACGTGACACCATACCTTAACAATAATCAGAAGCAAAAAGGGCTTGGGCTATGAGTCAAGTGGTGCAGAGCCTCCCTAGCAAATGTGAGATTCTGAGTTCAAATCTCAGGACTACCACCACCACCCCCAAAAAAGTCTAAATTAAGTAATTAAAGTAAGAAAAGCATCATTACCCACTTTGTTTATCTTCAAAAGACTGTTTCCAATGTAGGAAATGTCCCACTTTGTTTTACTCTTGATAAACAAGAAATGCTTTTCCATCTTTAATATTTGTTTCTGATTGTTTTGTTTTGTTGAATGTTCAAATCAATGAATAGTCTCAGGTCAAAAAACAAAACCAAGAAAACATGACATTCATGGTGTCCTGCGAAGATAACAAAAAAAAAAAAGAATTAGCAATTGAGTGCTCAGGGAAAGAACATTGTTTAGAGAAGTGATCACGTATGTTTTTTTTTTTGTCTCCCTAGCAGCACTGGAAGAAGTATGACATTTATGAGAAGCAGTCCAAAGAAGAAACTGACTCGGTAGTGCTGATAGAAAACCTAAAGAAAGTCTCTCAGTGATGGAGATAATTTATTCTTGCCTTTGAATGTGACCCTGTGAAGTATCATCAAATTCTCCATTTGTTATCCCAGAACTTGGTAAATGGAAACTAAAACTACTGGACCCTTTAGAAACAGGCAGCCATAGGAGCCAAATGAGTGGTGCACTGACAAAGTAAAAATATTGGGTCCTTTGGAAACGAAAGTGGAGTCATTCCTATTGAATCGTAAAAGTAGACATCCTTTGAGAAGTCTTCAAACTGGAGGACCAAGGAAAAGCTAATGGCAGTCAAGTTAATGTTAGCAAGAGTTATGATGACTCCCTAAGGGATGAATGCTTGTTTTGTGTCAAATTAGATCAAGAAATTTTATGTGTGAGGTAACTATTTCTGAGTATAAATGCCGTGACTCACATAGAACATCTAGCAAACAAAACAGATACAATTTGGTATCTGCCTATTGTTTGGGATCCCACTGAGTAATGTTGGTAGCTATTAAAATTCTTGAAAGTCCAGAATCATCATCCACTAGAGTAGCATTTTCCTCTGCTTTGAAAAACCTCAGCAATCAGTGATGACCCTGGTGATGATAACCAACACACAAAGCCCAGGCAACTTCTTTACCAAGACCATTCCATACCTTTCCAAGACTTTTCAGGGCAGTGGAGATAGAATGACTCCTTGGATATTAGGATTGGAACCAAGGAGTCTCTAATGATGGATTCTTTTTTTTCACCTTTGCTACTCAAATCAAGTATTGACTGGCTGGTGCTAGGCCCCCAATGGGTTTACGATCTAGTTGGGACTTTCCAGTTCTTACCACTTTTTTATTTTTTGGGTCCGGTCGTGGGGCCTGAACTCTGGGCCTGGGTGCTGTCCTTCAGCTCTTCAGCTCAAGGCTAGCGCTCTACCACTTGAGCCACAGCACCACTTCCGGCTTTTCCTGCTTGTGTGGTGCTGAGGAATCGAACCCAGGGCCTCAGGCATGCAAGGCAAGCACTCTACCACTGAACCACCTTCCCAGCCCCATCTTACCACTTTCTTGATCTCCCACCAGCCAATGCTCAGACTTTTCAACTCCCCAGCTCCTATACTGTTTTCCACCTTCTTCATTCCCTGTCTTTGTAGCCTATTGGCTTTCATTGGAAATTAAGAGGAGCAGGGAATCATTTGCATCTCAAGTAGTCTGCCTAGAGTGACAAACCGTGACTAAGTCTTTGCATTTTTGTTAACTTCCCCTGGGCCTCTTATGTTTGAGGTTTTTCAGCTCTTGATGTTTCTCTATGTATTTTCTAAATGGGGATGTGTATTACCTTCACTTAGAACTTAGCTGTTTGCTTGAATTAAACATAGTTGTACATCCTTCCCATTCATTGCAAGATGGGCCCTAGGGGTTCCTCTTTGCCCTCCTACAAATGCTTACTTAGATTTTGTGTGTTATATTAATAGCCAACCTTGCAGGACCTCCACTGTATACTTACTCTTTTTTTTGCATAGGTTAGGGTTCCATTCTCCGCATCCCCATAAAATACACATATACATTTATACCTACTACTTCTTTTACTTCCTCCAAATTTAAACCAAGAATGGGAAGTGAGAAGTATCCCCTTTTTTCTCACACACAGATTCAGAGTCCTGTTCCTGGGGCAGGGACAGACCTCTGCTCTAAACACATCTGTGCAAAAATGCCAACCTGCTTCCATTATAGTAGGGGAGCACAGTGCTCTGGCATCTCAGAGGCAATTCAAGTGCATGCTAATGGTAACTGTAAAGGTATTTCCTCCCCATGCTTTTATTGGCATCACACTGAGGCTGGGACACAGGCCTAGTATGTATATTCCACTTTGTTCCACTCTAACTTAGCTTTCTGGTGGAGGGATGAATTTAACTTCTTAGCCTCAAGGCACTGGTGGCTCCCGCCTATAATCCTAGCTACTCAGAAGGCTGAGATCTGAGGACTGCAGTTCACAGCCAGTCCAGGCAGGAAAGTCCGTGAGACTCATCTCCAATTAACCACCAGAAAACCAGAAGTGGTGTTGTGGCTAAAGAGGTGGAGCACTCGCCTTGAGCGCAAAGAGGCTCAGGGACAGTACCCAGGCACTGAGGTCAAGCCCCAGGACCAGCAAGAATAAGTAAATAAGGCCTCCCTCAAAGCCACTTTTACTGTTAGCCTATTTTGTAGAGGAGGAGAATGCTTTGAAATCCTCAGGAACCGTTATACAGCTTTGGAATGGGAGCGAGGGGGGTGGTCAGACTTTGTTTCCATCCTCTTTTAAAAGCAGTGAAATCTGTGAGGCAAAGAGGGCAGTACATCATAGGAATGCCTGTGCTTATTGTACAGTTCATTGGAGTCTCCCAGCTTGGCAGCGCTCAGAGACACCAGTACGTCACCTGTAGGAAACTAATATGTTTATTCACTATTTTGTCTAACCATATACCTAAGTAAACCCATGGTGGGGAGGGTCATTCTTATTCTTTCATTCAGATAAGTATTTTTTCTGCATCTGGGCACTGAAGGGATTATGTGAAATAATGTTAACATTTTTAGTAATGTCTTCAATGAGGGGTCATTTTTTGTTAAACTTCTATGAATGCTTGAGTCAAATAAATACTGTCTTTTTATATGTTACCTAAATGTTCTCCTTTGGTCTTATTTTGGGGAAAATATTAGGGTGACTGTTAGGGCACCGTTTTGAGTTAAAAGAATAAATATTGTAAAAATAGGAATCTATTTTACCTTGTGTGGGGGGGGGGGGTGTGGGGGTGTGCTCACATGCCAATCCTGAAGCTTGAACTCAGGGACTGGATGTTGTGTGTGTGTGTGTGTGTGTGTGTGTGTGTGTGTTGGTCCTGGGGCTTTAATTTAGGGTCTGGGTGCTGTCCCTGAGCTTCTTTTGCTCAAGGCTAGCTAGTTGAACCACAGCTCCACTTCTAGCCCTTCTACCACCACCACCACTACCCACATAGTTAGAGATAAGAGTATCAAAGAGTGTCAAACCAAAATCCTCAGCTCTCAGCCTCCTGAGTAGCTAGGATTACAGGTGTGAGCCACTGGCTGGTCAGAATATTTTTATATGTTTATAATTATCCATGAATATTCTGGAAATCCATCTCCAGTTAAGTACAGTTGTTTGCTTAAGAAACCCCATTGAATGGAGGACATTTTTAAAAAACATCTTCAATTGTGCAAAGGGGTTTCAATTCAACATGTCAGGTTATGAGTACAATGAATCTTGATGAACTTAGAGTCCATAAATATGTATAGATCTATGGAAAATAGATTACTGTAGCCACAAACACACTGACCTTGTCTCAAAGGGAGTAAGGAGCCAGAAAGATGAAACAGATTAGCTTTCCAGAGTAATTTACCACTTTCAAATTATCCTGGACTCCTGCTCTTTTCAAAGTGCAACTTTATGCTCAGATGACTAGCATGTCATGGTGCTGCTATAGTAGTTGTTGAAGAAAACAAAAGTATAGGAATGCTTACTTCAGAAATCTGACTTCTTTCAGACTTCAATGTGGTTAGCTAAGTCTTAGTCTGATTGTACTTCAAGGGAGAATTTTTCTTGACATTTGGATGTGCTAGATAATTTTGGTTTTTATCTCAATCTTGAACATTCTTTGTCTTTTAACTGTCTTTCATAGTGGTCATACCTGTACCATTAGCAACAGGAAAATATTTTATTTCTGGTCTTCAGCATCTGTTAGGTGCACTTATATGGGTAAAAAAAAAACCAAAATGATAAAAGCAGAACACTGAAGGGGTAAATGCAACACAAAATTGGTTGGAAATACATCTGTATCCATCAGTATTTATCTCTACAAACTAAGGAACTTTTTTTATTTTAAAAAATCAGAAGGGTAGAGTGGGTCATACATGTAGTCCCAGCTATTCGAGAGGCTAAGGGTAGAGGATCTCTTAAGCCCAGAAGTTCAGGACCAGCCTGGGCAACACAGATTTCTTCAAACAACTTTTCAACGTCTTTATTACACTAAAAATTAACAAAAGTGCTGAGCACTGGTGGTTCACACCTGTAATCCTAGCTACTCAGGAGGCTGAGATCTGAGAATCATGGTTCAAAGCCAGCCCTGGTGGGGCTGGGAAGGTGGTTCAGTGGTAGAGTGCTTGCCTTGCATGTATGAGGCCCTGGGTTCAATTCCTCAATACCACATAAGCAGAAAAAGCCGGAAGTGGCGCTGTGGCTCAAGTGGTAGAATGCTAGCCTTGAACTGAAGAGCTCAGGGACAGTTCCCAGGTCCAGAGTTCAAGCCCCACGACTGACAAAAAAAATTAACAAAAGTAGCAAAATGTTATCAAATATTCAGTTAATGTTCATATTTCCCCCATTGTCTCATAAATGGCTTTTTTCTATTATTTGATGAAATCAGAATTCAGTAAAGTGCATGGTGGAGCTTTAATACTTGTGCTTTGTGCTATACAGAGGCAAGCATGTGGGAAAAATGATTGTTTGGCCTTCAAATTTGTATTATATCAGCACATAGTAATATGGCTCTGTCACCAAAAAGTAACTCCCTTTCCCCCTTCTAGGATGCTGTTGTGAAATGTTTAACCCCTCATTGGATTCCAAACGTTCTTTATAAGCACAGTAAAGACATCTGTGGCAGTATAAAAGAAGGGAAAATTCACATTTACCCTTGACATTTTAATTTTTTAAAAAAAACAAGACATAGTCTTTCTTTAAAAAAAAAAAAAAAAAAAAAAAAAAGCTGGGGCCCTGAGCCAGTTGCTCACATCTGTAATCCTACCAACTCAGCAAGCTGAGATCTTAGATCTTAGGATCACCATTCAAAGCCAAGCCAGACAGAAAAATCTGAGAGACTACTACTCTTTTTTTTTTTTTTTTTTTGTCGATCGCGGGGCTTGAACTCTGGGCCTGGGTGCTGTCCCTCAGCTCTTCAGCTCAAGGCGAGCACTCTACCACTTGAGCTACAGCGCCACTTCCAGAGACTACTACTCTTATTTCCAATTTTTTTTTAAATGCAGGAAGTGGTGCCAGGCACCCATGGCTTCCACCTGAAATCCTAGTTACCGAGGAGGATGAGATCTGAGGATCACAGTTCAAAGCAAGAAAGTCCATGGAGACTTATCTCCAATTAACCACAAAAAGCCAGAAGTGGAGCCATGGCTCAAATGGTAGAGTGCTAGTCTTAAGAACAAAAACTCATGGACAATGCCCAGGCCCTGAGTTCAAGCCCCAGGCCCAGCAAAAGAAAAAGGAAAAGGAAAAAGAAAAAAAACTAGACTTGGGAGGTACCTCAGTAACAGAGTGTGTACTTAGCATGCATAAGGTCCTGGGTTCCAACCCCAGCACCAAATGCAAAACACAACTCTTGTGAGTGCCCACATCTGTATATGCCAGCTTCTAACACATCTAAGGGATATTTTTGCAAATGGCAGCACAGATCATATCTGTTTTATGTGATGTGTCTTCACATAAGATCAAGACCAATATAGATATGTTGGACATGCACTATTAAAAGAGAGTACTTCAGCCTAAATTAAGACCAAAATGTTGCAGCCACCTTCCCTTCTTGTAGTACTGGGGTTCAAACCCAGGACTTTGAGCCATGTATCCAGTCTTTTTGCTTTTCAATGTTTTCAGATAAGGTCTCTAGCCAACTTCCCTTGGGATGGCCTCAAACTATGATCCTCCTACCTCTGATTCTTCAGTAGCTGGGGGCAGGGAGGGCACAGTTGTGTGCCACTATGCCAGGCTTGTTTTTTAGATAGAGTCTTGCTAACTTTTGATTGATTACATTGTACTAGGAGTTTGGGAACTATTCTATTCCACTTGCCTTTTTTGAAATTTTTATTTTACTGTAAAGGCGATATACAGAGGGGTTACAGTTACATAAGTAAGGGGATGAGTACATTTCTTGTGGAACACTGTTACCTCCTTCCCTCGTTTTCTCCCACTTTCCCTCCTCCCTGACTCCTCTTCCCCACCAAGTTATATAAGTTCATTTCCAACATAGTGTCTTGTGAATATTGCTGTTGCATTGGTTCGCCCTTTTCCTTTGTGTCACCATTTTGTGATTCCCCTTCCCTTCCCCAAATCAGATAAACATATATCCAAGACACAGGGGATAAACCAAACGGGAAAAAAATGAAAGAAAAGAAAAATAACTTCACACAATACATTAAAAAAAAACACAAAAAAACCTTTGTTTCCTTATCTTGAAGTTCATTTCAATTAGCATCATTTTATATGGTCATATGTACATAACTATTGAGCTATTCCCATTTGACTTTCTAAATACATTTATTCAAGAAACCTTTAAGTATATTTACACATATTTAATATGCTATATTATATCAATATAGTATACATAAATACAATAAATGTAAAATAAATATAATGTATTGTATAATAGATAATATACATTATGTGATATAATGTATATTATATGCATATTCTATATAAAATTTAGAATATTGTATATATTCTTGCCCTCAGGAATGACAGATGTGTTTCCTCTTGTTGTCCAGTTCTGCTTGGAGTACTGTTCTGAGAAGAATTTGGAGGCTGGTTTGGGGCTCAAAGGGAAAATCCTGAGTACTGAAGCTATTGTCCTGTTGAGTTACTATCCCTGCCTAAAGGCTGGAGGGAGCTCCTCAGATAGATCAACAACACATAATCAACAAGGCAAAATGTCCAAAAGTATAGTGGATAGACAATGAAAAGAGTGATGGGGCTGTTGGGACCAGAAACATATTCTTAAAGGAGGAGTTAATTGAGCTAAACTTTAATGATGGGTAGAAAATGAAAAAAATTAACAAAAGAGGGTGTTTCTCTCCTTAGTGGGGTTTGAATTTAGGTGTAGATCCTAATACAAGATGGGTTGTGAGAGGAAAATGATGAAGATAAGCAAATAAGCTATAATATTAAGTAAGAAATGGCCAGGATATGCTTTATGTCAGGAAAACTGGAGTGAAGGTGCGGATCTGAAATAGTTTAGAGATGGGAGTCACCACAGTTTGATGGAAGATGATGAAAAATGATACAGAGAGCCAGATATGGTGGAACATGTTTGAAATTCCAGCACTTAGGCTGAGGCAAGAGGATCATGATTTGAAGCTAACTTGGGCTACATAGCAAGACTTTACCTCAAACAGACCAAAACACACAGAAAAATGATAAAAAGAAATGGAGGAGTGGCTAAAAGATATGAAATCTATTTTGGACCTATTGCCTATAAAGTGCTGGAAAGAACATTATTATCATGATTTCCAGTAGGGCTGAGAACACTCAGGATTGGTAATGAGAGGAGAACAGCTGTAAGGAAGGATCAAAGAAGACATTGCAAAGCCCTCTCAGGACAGGTGAGAAACCCCCAAAGCTAAGCTTGCTATGGGAGCAATCATGAGATGACAAGTTCAATGGCAAAGCAGAGTACTCAAGCGCTTCCAGATCACAAGTGACACACTGCTGCCACCTGGTGGCCACATGTAAAACTCATAATGAGGACATTTTAGAGCCAGCAAAGTCCTTCCCTCTTGAAAGCCTTCTAGAGTTCATTGTTCTCTCTACTTAAATTTCTTTCCATCTCTACTTCTTCTTTTGAGAGACATTTAATTTATCAATATTTTAGATATCTGGGCTAGACAGTCTGGCATTATTCAACTTTATTTTTTATTTTTGCATTTTAAATATTATCCTTAAGAAATATTCAACAAGATTGCTAGCCTTGAGCTGAAGAGCTGAGGGACAGCGCCCAGGCCCAAAGTTCAAGCTCCACTACCAACAACAAAAAAAAGAAACATTCAACATTTTTTTTGCACTGCTGAGTATGGAACCCAGAGCCTTGTACATGCTAGCAAATGCTCTATCACTAAGTTACATCCTCAGCCCCACTATTCTGTGTGTGGGGGCTGTGTGTGTGTGTGTGTGTGTGTGTGTGTGTGTGTGTGTGTGTACGGGGGCTTGAACTCAGGGCCTGGGTCCTGTCCCTTAGCTTTATTGCTTAAGGCTGGTGCTTTACCAGTTGAATCTTGCCTTCACTTCCAGCTTTTTGGTGGTTAATTGGAGATGAGTCTCACAAACATCCCTGCCCAGAATGGCTTCAAACCATGATCCTCAGATCTCAGCTTTCTGAATAGGATTACAGGAATGACCCACTGGCATCTGACACTCACTATTTTTTTTATAGTAATCGTTCTTGTTTCCTTTTAGCTTTATCATATCTATATGCATGTACAAACAGTATACTTTATCTCTCCCAGGTCTGAGCTTCATATACACAGGTGCATAGTACCATAATTCTTTTTTGAAAAGCGGGCTTTGTTGTGATACACTGTAAATAACACAAATTCATTTTTTTAATTTATGTAGTTCATTTTTTAAAATAAATTCAGAGCTGGACCACCATAATCATGATCAATTTTAGATTATTTTAATCATAGTAAAAAGAAATAGTATACCTTGTCCATATAATTGTAACCCCTCTGTACGATATTTTCACAATAAAAAAAAAAAGGAAAAAAAGAAATAATAAGCCGGGAGCTGGTAGCTCACATCTGTAATCCTAGCTACTCAGGAGGCTGAGATCTGAGGATTGAGGTTCAAAGCCAGTCTGGGCAGGAAAGTCTGTGAGACTCTTATCTCCAATTAACCACCAGAAACCAGAAGTGGCACTGTGGCTCAAGTGGCAGAGCATTCAACTTGAGCTGAAGAGCTCAGGGACAGCACCCAGGCCCAGAGTTCAAGCCCATGACTAAACAAAACAAAAGAAAAAAATAATGTACCCATTAGTAATCACCCTCTTTTCCTTCTTCTCGAAGCCCATAGCAATCACTAATGTACTTCCTGTCTCTGTGCATTTGTATCTTTGACCATTGTATGTAAACAGAATCAGACAAAATGTGCTCTTTTCTGTTTGTCCTCTCGCATTGTTATCATGGTTCATCTATGAACATGAATTGGTACTTTTTTCCTTTTGTCCATTCATCAGTGGATGGACATTTGGATTGCTTCTACTTTAGGCTATTATTATCATTAATATGAATGTTAGTACACAGTTTTGTATAGACATGTTTTCATCTCTCTTGGATATGCACTTAGGAATGGAATTGTTGACTCATATGGTGATTCTATATTTAACTTTTGAGGAAATTCTCAACTGTTTTCCAAAATGAGTGCACCATTTTACAATCCAATCCACAATATTTGAGGATTCTAACTTCTTTGCAGACACTTGTTACTGTATTTCTTTATTATAGCTATGCTAATCGCATTAAGTAGTGTTTCATTCTAGATTAAATTTGCATTTGTGTGATGTCCAATGATATGGAGCAGCCTTTCATGTATATATTGCCATTTTCATATTCTGGAGAAATGCCTACTAAGATCCTTTGCCCATTTTAAAAAGATTTATTTTGCCAGTCCTGGGACTTGAACTCAGGGTCTGGGCACTGTCCCTGAGCTTCTTTTGCTCAAAGCTAGCACTCTACCACTTGAGCCACAGTGCCACTTCCGGCCTCTCCTATTTATGTGGTACTGAGGAATTGAATCCAGGGCTTCATTCATGCTATCCAGTACTCTTCAACTAAGTCCCATTCCCAGCCCCTCAAAAGATTTTTATTAGCGTACATCAGTTGTACAAAGGGGGGGGGTTTCATTGTGACATTTCCACACATAAATACATTATATACATATATTACAGACCTACATATATACAATATACCCTGATCAAACTCCATGCATCACTGTCCCTCATTTCCCTACTCCTCTCTAAAGGCAATCTCAACAGTTTTCACTCTTCTTTCACATATTCATATAAAGTATTTCAACTTTATTCAGTATCTTCACCCTCTGAGTTGGCTATCACTTCTCCTGATGATATTTAGCTCCAAATAGAGCCTGTTTACCATGCTATAAGGGCCTGGGCATTGTCCCTGAGCTCTTTAGCTCAAGGCTAGGCACTCTACCACTTGAGCCACAGCACCACTTTCGGTTTTCTGGTGGTTCATTGGAGATAAGAGTCTTATGGACTTTCCTGCCTGGGTTGGCTTTGTACCATGATCCTCAGATCTCAGCGTCCTGAGTAGCTAGGAGTACAGGCGTGAGCCACCAGCATCCAGCTTGTTCCTGAAGGTTTGTGCTCAAGGGTAACACTCTACCACTTAAGCCCCAGCTCCACTTCTTTTGGCTTTTTGAGGTTAATTGGAGATAAGAGTCTCACAGACTTTCCTGCCCAGGGTGGCTTTGAACGTCAATGCTCAGATCTCAGCCTTTTGAGTAGTTAGGATTACAGGTGTGAGCCATTCGCACCTGGCTCTATGTCAAGTTTCATGCCTTTAGTCTCAAGACACAGAATTGACTCAAGGGAGAAAGGAAGGATAGAGGGAGGAAGAAAGAGTCTTAAATTCTGTAATTGGCTTCCTGTATCCAAGAGGTTCACTTGTTCCTTGAGCTTGTTGCGCCGTCCTCCCGGGCCCCCTCCTCTCGGGTACCCTGGTCAAACCTGAGCCAGTCGCCCGCCCCCGCACTCCACTGATTGGCTGCAGTGGCCTGTTCGTCACACTCTGCTGTCACCGTGGTCAGAAGATAAAAGCAGCCGCGGCTGCCTTGGGAACCGTGCTGCTTGGACTCGGGTACCCTTCTCTGGGTGGCCGTGCGAAGCAGCCCCTTTCCCTCCCCCTACGCCCCCGGATCGCTTAACGGCAAGAGCGGCGCGCGTCCTCCCCCCGACCCCCAAGCAGGGTTGCAGGACCAGTAGGCTGAAACCAGACTCCCAAACGTCCTCAGCCCACCAGCTGCGTGGAGGTAAAGTGGGGGGGGGGGGGGGGATTTGATTTGCTGGTGTGGGGAGAAGTGGGGGGGGGGGGGAAGCTGCCAGTCCTGGGTGACACAGGGTTTGGAGAATCGGCAATTGCGAGGTAAGGGAAGGAGCACCCGCAAAGCCTGGCAGCTTTGAGGGAGGAGGTGGGGTTCACCTGGTTGCTGCAGAGTGGGTAAGATGTGCTTGCATTGGGGGAAGGGAAGAAGAAGCCACGCAGGCGAGGAGGGAGAAGGACTCGAGTTTGCCTTGGGCTCCCCCCCTCCCCTTTTGAACCCCCTTTTGCACCTCATCACATCTTCCTGGGGAGGACTATGTGGGTGGGTGTGTCCAAGTCCTATTCCATTTCTCTAAAGCAGCCGGTCTAAGCGGAATCTGACCTCGAATTGTGTGCAACTGCTTGTAGATCTGGTAGGCAATGCTGGCACGGGATCAAATGGGGAAGGGTCGTTGGGGATCGTTTGAGGGAAGGTGGGAGAGGGAATTTTCTGCCTGGCGACTGCAGAGGCGGGGAAAGGGAGGGGGAGGAGGGAGCAGCAGGATGACGCGCGACACTACCTCCGACCCTCCATCCCCTGCCCGCCTCCCCTGTGGCGCAGTTTGGACACCTGGAGCACACCGAATCTGTGAATCCTGCGGACTGTGGTCGACCGGACCCCAGAAGCAAGCTTTCTTACGAAGAGCACAGATTTCACCAGCTGGAAATAAAGGTGCACTCATTTCTGCATCTGTAAAGGATCTGAGAATTACCACAGGGGTGGGGAGGTCACAAGGGGGTGTGGCTGAGGCCAGATGATGCAATCACTGAGATCCTCTGTGATTTCTACGCATCTGCGACTGCTGTGCTTGCTTTTGAGAGTCTCACTGTTGATTTCATACACTGTTCAAGCTAGATAGAATTCGAAGCAACAGTTGCCATTCCCTTCGAAGGACTTGGGGGCGCAGGCGGGGGGGGGGGGGGGCGTGTGGATTTGGCTGCAGAAAGCGCCCAGCGAGCCTAGAAGCCACCTGAGACGAGCAACAAGAGACTATCATTGCCCATCTCTTGCAGGATATTTTTTTAAGAGGAGGCAGGGGGGAGGGGACCCTGTAATGCAGGCTATTGAGGTGAGGAGTGAACACAGCTACAGTATGTCTCTTATTAACTGCCCCCCCCTTTTTTCTTTACAGACCCTACAGGAATAAGAGGAGGACAGAATCCCCTGCACACCTGCAAATTAGCCCCCTCCCACCCCCGCCCCATAAAAGCCCAGGAATTCTGTATTGAGATCCTGTGTCATCAGCAGGCATGGCAAGCATCCTTGCACATGTGGGTGCCAATCGGGGGCAAAATGCAGCCATGCCTCCTTGGGCCCATTCCTTGCTGAGATCCCTGGGGAGAAGTCTTGGCCCTTTGATGGCCTACATAGCAGAGAGAAACCTGAAATTGTTCTCAGGGAAGGCAGTGCCAGTCCCGGGGGAAGAAACCTTTGAAAACTGGCTGATCCAAGTCAATGGGGTCCTGCCAGATTGGAATATACCTGAGGAAGAGAAGCTCAAGCGTTTGATGAAAACGCTCAGGGGTCCTGCCCGCGAGGTCATGCGTTTGCTCCAGGCTGCCAACCCTAACCTAAGTGTGGCAGATTTTTTGCAGGCAATGAAATTGGTGTTCGGTGAGTCTGAAAGCACGGTGACGGCTCATGGTAAATTTGTGAACACGCTCCAGGCACAGGGGGAGAAAGCCTCCCTTTATGTGATCCGTTTAGAGGTGCAACTCCAAAATGCTATCCAGGCAGGCGTCCTGTGCGAGAGAGATGCCAACCAGACTCGCCTGCACCAGTTCCTGGTAGGGGCTGAGCTGAGTAGGGACCTGCACTGCAGGCTTAAGGGGCTTCTCAGGGTGTATGCAAATGAGCCAGAGCAGCTTCCTGATTTCCTGGAGCTAATCAGGATGATACGGGAGGAGGAAGATTGGGATGACACATTTATTACACCAAAGGAGCCCAAAAGATCTGAGTCAGAGGTGGAGAATGTAAGCAGCCCCGTGATATTTGAGGACAACTCCCAAATCGCCATGAGCAGTGCTGACTGCAATGTGATAGAGATAGACGATACCCAGGATGACTCAGATGAGGATGTGATCCTGGTAGAATCTGAGGACCCTCCGCTCTCATCCTTGGCTTCCCCTCCCATCCCAGACATCTATCAGGACCAAGTGCTGCTCATTGATTCCCCCAGCACTTCCGCCACTCAGTCTCCCTCCACCAGCCATGGTGATGGGCGGAGAGCCAGGAAGCGAAAACACACAAGGGGCTGTACTTCTTGTGGTGAGGAGGGTCACTCAAAAGAAACCTGTGACAATAGCAACAAGACCCAAGTTTTTGAGAATCTGATCATCACCCTACAGGAGCTGACACATAGAGAGCAGGGGCCAAGACCTGTCAAAGCCTATGGCCCCTGTGAGCTACAGTATGGTGCTGGCCCCCAGCCTTAAATGAGCCCCTGACTAGGAAATTACAAGAGGGGATGTCTAACTTGCATGAATTAATCTGAAAAGCAGTTTTCTTTTGTATGGAGAAAGGGTCTTGAATAGCAACTAGTAGAGTGAAAGAAGATGGCCTGTAATCCATCCTTGCTTTTTCTCCCCATTGCTGAAGATCCTGTTTTCTGTGTGTGCCCATTTCCTTGATTGCTTTGTTCTCTTGATGAAAATGGCATCTTTCATTGTTAAGTGTTCAACTATTAGAGAAAATTATAAAAAGGTGATGTACAAGTGATCTAGAACTCTCCACCCTTTGGTAAATGTCCTTCTAGATATTTCTCTATGCCTATGTACACAGATAGCTATATATTATAGATAAGTGATTCAATATAAGTGCTATTCTATATGCTGTATTTTTTCACCAAACGATACATGTGGTGGCCTTCTATGTCTGTAAAAAAAATACAATACATACATACATATGTATGTATATCAACATCTACCTTAATGTCTCTGTGGTATTATTTAACGTCTCTGTGATAGTATTTTAAGAAGATGTAAAGGGAAAGAAAAAATATACTGAAAAGCTATAAAGGGGCGGGGTCATAGTCTGAGGATTTTTTTTTTCAATCAGCTTCATTGCAGATGAACAAAGAAGAAGAAATGTGCTGAAATATTTCCCAAAGAGAAGAAGTCCCTTTACCACAACTGTCCTGTCCCCTTCCTCATAGAGCCAAATTATAACCTGCATTAATTGACAATACACCACTGATTACTTTCCTGTTGAAGCTAGAGGAGTGGGGTGGGGGAGGATGTCCAGTGCTATGTGCCCAACAAGAGAATCCCAGGGGTTCCACTCCTGTTCACTTTGGTGAAGGGAAGTTCTCCCCTTGGTGGATTCCTTACATTTCTGCAGCAGCTTCTGGACATTTTTTTTTAAGGTGCTTGAACTCACAGTGTGAGCACTGTCCCTGAGCTTTTTAGATTATAGCTAGTGTTCTACCACTTGAGCCACAGCTCCACTTCCAATGTATTTGGAAGTTATTGGAGATAAGGGTCTCGCAGAGTTTCCTTCCCAGGCTGGCTTCGAACCATGGTTCTCAGATCTCAGCCTCCTGAGTAGTGAGGATTACAGGCATGAGCCACTGGTGCCTTGCTTCTAGATAACATTCTGTTGACAAGGAATCTCATCTGTGGACTGACACCACCCTCTGCCCCCTCCCCGATGAGGGAAAGAGAAAAGAACAACTCTTGGGAGCTTTGGGAGCTCAGCACCAGCAGGCTCAGGTCTGCTACAGATTACAGGTAGTTCAAGGACTCCCAACTAACCCCACTGGAACCCAAGATTGCTTTCATAAGGCAGGTTGAAAAACAACCCCAGGGGCTGGGAAGGTGGCTCAGTGGTAGAGCGCTTGCCTTGCATGCATGAGGCCCTGGGTTCGATTCCTCAGCACCACATAAGCAAAAAAGAAAAAGAAGCCGGAAGTGGCACTGTGGGTCAAGTGGTAGAGTGCTAGCCTTGAGCTGAAGAGCTGAGGGACAGCACCCAGGCCCAGAGTTCAGGCCCCATGACCGGACCCACCCAAAAAAGAAAAAGAAAACCATACCCAGGTCACTTGAAAAAACATGGGAATCAGCCAGCCAGGAAGCCCCAGTCGCCATTAGAGGAGAGTGGAGGATATGTGTGGGGAAGGGACGGAAAAGGGGGCCTTTCCTAGGAACTGGCCTCACAGAAGCCCACCCTGGATCATCTACTGAACTCCATTTGAAGGATGACAAGAGAGGACAATGTGACCTTAGACCATATGGATCCTATGTTTTGTGAGCAGGACAGGGCTGAGCATTTAGGAGCAGGAAGAGAGTGAAATGTAATGGAAGAGAGTGGAAGAGTGGAAGGGGGTACAGGTAGTGTGCAAAGGAGAAGGAGACACAGAGTGAAGTGAATGGGTGAGTCTGGGGTTCTTGAGGGATTTGGTGATTCCCAGGTAATGGAGGCCCACACTGCTTAAGAGGACAGAGAATGCAGCAGCAGTGGGAGCTGGTATGCCAGCAGAGAAGCATAGAGCTGCTGTCTGGCTCAAGGAACTACAGGGACTCCCATGCAAATTGTCAGGGGCAGGAAGCCTTGTAAGAATCAGGACCAAGGGATTCATGCAAAACCCTGGGCTGGATTGTACAAGGATTGGCATAGGTTGGTGGGGGCAGGACGGGGGCTCCCGAGAAGGCCCTTAAGGTCCTAATTATGCTAGCAATGGATGGCCCACTAAGTGGAGACAAAGGGAGTCCAGGCTGAAGTCCTGAGGGAGAGGTGGTGACCAAGTGCTTCAAGAAGCTCTCCCTGAGTTGAAGTGCTTCTCTGCAGAAAAACCCTTTTAGCTCCTCTTGGGCCTTTTGCTCCTACTCCTTTCATGACTGAACTTTTATTTTTTTCCTTGTCAGTTGAACTCACAGCCTCAGTGCTGTCCCTGAGTTTTCACTCAAAGCTAGCTCTCTACCACTTTGAGCCACAGCTCCATTTCCAGCTTTCTGGGGATTAATTGGAGACTTGAGTATCATGGGATTTCCTGCCTGGGCTTCGAACCACAGTCCTCGATCTCAGCCTCCTGAGTGGCTAGGATCACAGGTGTGAGCCACCACTGCTAATGACTCTACAATTTGACCTTACAATCACCACCAGTCCCCTCACCCCGTGCTCCCTGGAGCCCGCACTTGTCCTTTGGTGACAGTGGTGGAGGCACAGAGCTCTTTCCTCAGCTTCCATGTCTCCACCACTTCCAACCCCACCACTTGATGATTGTTTTAAGCCTCAGCCTCTAGAAAGAAACCAGAAGCCGGGATCCAGTGGCTCACATTGGTAATCTTAGCTACTCAAGAGGCAGAGATCTGAGGATCATGGTTCAAGGCTAGCCAGGGCAGAAAAGTCTGTGAGACTCTTATCTCCAATTAAAAAAAAAAAAAACAAACACCAAACTACCAGAAAGAAAAACTCAACAACAGAAGTGTCACTGTGGCTCAAAAGTGGTAGAGCGCTAGCCTGAAGCAAAAGAAGTTCAGGGCCAGTGCCTAGGCCCTGAATTCAAGCTCCAGGATGCCTCTCCCTCCCCCCTCCCCGTCCCCAACAAAGAAATATCTTCTGCCTCTGTGTAGTTGACAACTGGGTAAACTCTACAAGAGGACCACTCCTAGCATCCCTTCATGGCACCTCTGAGCCCAGGGCAGCCCCCTATTGTATTCCCAGAGTGGAGCAGCTCACCTCAGATCTCCAGAGCCACAGGAATCCCCAACATCCCTTAGCTTGCACAGGTTTTGTCTCTTAATTTCGACCTACCCTGACTAAAGCTTCTCTTGGCATGCACGTGTGTGTGTGTGTGTGTGTGTGTGTGTGTGTGTGTGTGTGTGTGTGTGTGTGTGTGTGTGTGTGTATCTCCCCACCTAGTCCTTTTTTTCTGGTCCTGGAGCTTGAACTCAGGGCCTGGGCACTGTCCCTGTGCCTCTTTGTGCTTAAGGCTAGCACTCTAACACTTGAGAGCCACAGCGCCTCTGGATTTGTCTGAGTACTTTATTGCAGATAAGAGTCTCATAGACTTCCCTGGCCAGGCTGGCTTTGAACTGTGATCCTCAGAGCTCAGCTCCTGAGTAGCTAGGATTACAAGTGCCAGGCTTCCATTTTTTAAAACAATGGTCACTTTTTCTCATTTTTACTCTATAAATACTTGTTGAATGGTTTGCCCAAAGATACAGATTGATGCTGCCATCATTTCTCTCTGGCACCACGCAGATTAGGAACATGAAAGGAGAAAGAAAGAAATCGGTTTTATGCATTACTACCAATTTCTTCCTCACTAAAGTTAGCTGCAGTGGAGATCTCTGTAGAGATTCCAGCTTGTAAAACCTGTTTTATGGTCCATCCCCTTCTTTCCTCTTCCTAGCTTCTTCCCTGTTTGTATACACTTGAAACAGACAACAATTTTAGCCTGCTGTAAACCAGCATTTCTTTTTTTAAAAAACTTCATTTTGTGAGATACTGGCTTTGCCATCATGCAAGAAATATGTATTTGCTCTAATTGGATACCTAAAGTATTCAGGAGAGACTAATGGGCTTTGCCAAAAGGAGGCTATTAGAGACTTTTATGTCTAGATCCCTCATTTCAAGCTATGGGCTTATTTTCTTCCTCCTACCTACATTCCCATTGGTTGCTAAGGGATGAAAATGGCTCTTTGTCTTGTTAGAAGAAGCTGGCCTCTGGGCACCCTTTTGTGTTATTTTCCTCCTGCCTGGCATCTTTTCTCTTGGTTTCCATGACACCCTCCTTTGATGGCTCCCCCTCCTTGGCCTTTTTAGTAGCCACTTCTCAGTCTCTTTGCTCAATTTTCTTCCTCTTCTTGATCTCTGTACCATTATTTCCCGTACTTTTTTTTTTCGTTTTTGTGCTGATTGTGGATAGTATCCTTGATTTCTTTTTTTTTTTTCTCTCAAAGCTAGCACTCCATCACTTGAGCTACAGCTCCACCTCTGGATTTCTGGTGGTTTATTGGAGATAAGAGTCTCATGGACTTTCCTGCCCAGGCTGCCTTTGAACCTCTCAGCCTCCTGAGAAGCTAGGATTACAGACATGAGTCACCAAGACCCTGCTTACTCTAGACCTATTTTTGGGGAGGGGTGAGGGGAAAGTTAACAGAGAAAAAACTGGGAACAAAAATCACAAGTATTGATTGCTGAATAAATCAGGTTTTGTGTATACAGTGGAATGCTACTGTATGTGTACATGTGTGGGCATGATGTCATATCCTTGCTGGAAAAATAATGTATGTTCTCTGTGGACCAGGGCTTAGAAGAGTACCACTTCATCATACCCTCTGTATTACCTTTTTTCTTGGGGGAGGGGGGTGTTGGTGGTGTGACTTGAACTCAGGGCCTAGGCACTGTCACTGAGCTTCTTTGTGCCCAAGGCTAGTGCTCTACCACTTGAGCTACAGCATCACTTCCGGTATTCTGATGGTTAATTGGAGATAAGAGTCTCACAGACTTTCCTACCTGGGCTGGCTTTGAACCAAGATCCTCAGAGCTCAGCCTCCTGAGTAGCTAGGATTACAGGCGGGAGCCACCACTGCCAGACTTCTGTATTTGTTGTTGTTGTTTAATTTTATTTTATTGTAAAGATGCTGTACAGAGGGGATACAGTTACATGAGTAAGGTAATGAGTACGTTTCTTGTCCAGCATTGTTACCCCCTCCTTTGTTGTTCTCCCACTATCCCTTCCCTCTCCCACATCGCTCACTCATGCCCCCCCCCCGAAGTTGTAAAGTTCATTTCCAATATAGTGTCTTGTGGATATCATTATTGCAATGGGTCATCCTGTGTCCTTGTTTCAGAATTTCGTTATTCTCCATCCCCTCCTCAAATTAGACAAATGTGTTATCTTTGATGGTCCAACCTGCTGACCCCTCCTTCACCTGCCAGATAAAGATTGCCCAGATTCAAGTCTCAGCTCACCTGGCATCCCTTGGGGCAGCCTTCCGTGACTTCACCACAGCTTGTTTCCTATATACTAGGTACTGCTTCCCATGTTGTTCTATCAGATTGTATAATGAACAGCTTTCCCTGCTAGGCTTACAGTCCTGTGTCCAGCACAACATGGTTGTCCAAACACAGTCACAGGTTGGCATCTGCTATTCCTCCAGAGAGTGGTATGGATTCTTCACAGTGTTTCTGAATTTGCTTAGAAGTTGCCTTTTCAATGAAGCCATTTAAAACTGCACAGCTGGCCACCCAGCCTTCTCCTTCCTCCTATTCTCTGCTTTCCCATGACACGGCTGTCTTCTGCCATACATCGCTACATCATTTACTGGCTTATTATAGAATTCATGTGGACCTGGCACCGTTTCTCTATTAGCTTCTCAACCATCATCATCTGGAATGAAACAGACCAGGGTAGCATTAAAAAGAGCTCTGGAACCAGATGCTTGTGGCTCTTGCCTATAATCCTAGCTACTCAGGAGGCTGAGATCAGAGGATTGCCATTCAAAGCCAGTCTGGGCAAGAAAGTATGTGAGACTCTTATTTCCAATTAACCACCCAAAAGCCAGGAGTGGAGCTGTGGCTCAAAGTGGAAGAGTGCTAGCTTTGAGTGAAAAAGCTCAGGGACAGTGCCTAGGCCCTGAGTTCAAGCCCCATGACTCTCTCTCTCTCTCTCTCTCTCTCTCTCTCTCTCTCTCTCTCTCTCTCTCTCACACACACACACACACACACACACACACACACACACACACACACACACAAGAGCTCTGGTAAAGCATGGTCAATAGTATGTATCACACAACAGATACAAGGAATCTTACATTCACTAAGGTGTGATATACTGCCCTGGATCTCAAACACCAGAAACAGTGCAAACGAAGGGCCACAAATATGGTTTACTGAATAAATTTGGATCCATACAGGCAATGGGATTCTGTACACTTAAAAGTGTGAATGTAGGCTGGACCTGGTAGCTCATGTCTTTAATACTAGCTACTTGAGACCTGAGGTTTGAGGTTTGAAGCTAGCCTGGGTAGGAAAGTCTGTGAAACTTTTATCTCCAATTAACCACCCAAATGCCAGAAGTGGAGCTGTGACTCAAATGGTACAGTGTTAGCTTTGAGCAAAAAAAACAGCTGAGGGACAATGCCCAGGATCTGAGTTCAAGTCCCAGAACCCAGGAATTGACATTCTCTCTACTTCTCCCTCTCTTTTTCCCTCTCCCCCCCCCCCACCAAGGGGGGTGAGTCTTTCAAGGTAGTGAGTCTTTCAATGTGTGGATACTGAGATTGGGTATGGGTCATGGTATCAACACTCTAGGCTTGGATATTAGCAAAGGGGAAATATTCAGGTTGTTGGAGGATGCAAGTTGTGGATGCTTCTCATTGATGGGATGGGATGGGATGGGATGGGATGGGGGTTCTGTAATGCAGAAATGGTTTGCCTGCACTGAGGAGTCCTGGAAGAGTAATGCATATGAAGGCAGTGTAATCCTAGCAAAGTCCTTTTTAGGTAGCTACCAAGAACTGGATTTGTTTTACAGCATGCAGGCTGAATGTGGGGGAGAAATGGTTTTAATTTTCTTATACATTTTTAAATTAATATTAAATTTTAACTTGTGTTTTATAATGCCCAAATTTTTGTTGTTGTTTTTGGCCAGTCCTGGGACTTGAACTCAGGGTCTGGATGCTGTCCCTGAATTTCTTTTTTTTTTCAATATGTTTTTTATTGTAAAAATACTGTACAGAGGGGTTACAGTTACTTGAGCAAAGTAATGAGTACATTTCCTATCAAGCATTGTTACCTCCTCCTTTGTTTTTCCCCTACCATCCCTTCCCTCCCCACCTCCACAACTACAGTCCCCCCCCCCCCTAGCCTAAATTGTAAAGTTCGTTTTTCAACATGGTATCTTGAACATCTCATTGTGACAATAGGCCAACCTGTATCCCCATTTAAGCATTTTGTTTTTACCTTCCCCTCCCCAAGTTAGAGAAGTGTATACATAAGATGCTGGGCACCGAGATCAAATACAGTGAAAACAGGGGTTATACTGTGGGGGAGAAACATAAAAAGAAACCAAAAAAAAAATCACATGGTACATTATAAATAAGTTAGAAACAATAGCAAGAAAGGGAAAAAAAAACACTTGTGTCCCTATCTTAGGGTTCATTCACCTAAACATCATCTTGTTTTTTTGGGGGGGGTCTAGTTGTGGGGCTTGAACTCTGGGCCTGGGCGCTGTCCCTCAGCTCTTCAGCTCAAGGCTAGCACTCTACCACTTGAGCTACAGCGCCACTTCTGGCTTTTTTCTTTTTGCTTATGTGCTGCTGAGGAATCGAACCCAGGGCCTCATGCATGCAAGGCAAGCGCTCTACCATTGTGCCACCTTCCCAGCCCCCTAAACATCATCTTATCTGGTCATATGTACATAGCTTTGGACCTTTCTGCTTGTCCCAGACATATACTCATTGTTGCAAATAAGGGAAACCAGGAGACCCATGTTTCTTTGGGCCTGGCTTACTTCACTTACTATAATTTTTTCCAAGTCTTTCCATTTCCTAACAAATGGGGCGATATCATTCTTTGTGATGGAGGTTAGAGGGGAACCTTACTGCATTGTTGGTGGGAGTGTAAACTTATTCAACCCCTTTGGAAAGCAGTATGGAGGGTCCTCAAAAGATGCCACATAGCACTTTCCTATGACCCAGCAATCCCACTTTTGGGCATTTACCCAAATGATCACAAACAAGACCATACTAAAGCTACCAGCACAACTATGTTTATTGTAGCATTATTTACCATAGCTATGATATGGAACCAACCCAGATACCCCTCGGTAGATGAGTGGATCAAGAAATTATGATAGAGAGAGAGAGAGAGAGAGAGAGAGAGAGAGAGAGAGAGAGAGAGAGAGAGAGAAAGAGAGATAATGCAATTCTCTATCCCTGAATTTCTTTTGCTCAAGGCTAGTGTTCTACCACTTGAGCATCTGAGGCGGAGCAACACTTCTAGCTTTTTCTGTGTATGTGGTACTGAGGAATTTAACTCAGGGCTTCATGCATGCTAAGCATGCACTCTACCACTAAGCCACATTCACAGTCCATAATGTCCAATTTTTTATTAAAATTTATTTCCTTTAATCCAGTACAAAAGAATACGTGCTCTTGTTTGGTAAAGCGGAAAAATAAACAAGCTAGCTCTGACCAGTGTGCTAAACCCTTTAGGTGGATTATCTTGGCTATAGATACATATTTTCAGGACAAAACAAAAAACCTCTTATTAAACAAAACTGCTAAAAAAAAATAAAAATCAACAAAACTCGCTCCTTCCTTCCTTCCTTCCTTCCTTCCTTCCTTCCTTCCTTCCGGTTCAAGGTCATTATCTGGCCATTTGGTCAAGTTGGGGGTCGTCCTCACTCTGGGAAGGAGAAAATATATAAGCCTCTATCCATGTTAGTTGGGGTTTGAGGCCGCTGCCGTGGATCTCGTGGTGGGGAGCACACACTCGTCGCTTCCACTATAGAGGTCAAGGGAGTGTTGATACTTGTCTCACTTGCACAGAGTCACCAGCCTACTTTCGGCTCTTCTTGCTGCTTCCGTCTGGGCTTGGTGTACTGGGTTGGCTAAGCTCAGTTTGCTTCAGCTCTAGCTGTGCTCGACTAGGCTATTCGGCTAGCCTCGGATTCACCTTTGCTTGATTTGGCTACACTCGGCTGCCTTCGGTTCGGCTCAGCTGCGCCCGAGTGCTTTCGGCTGGGCTCGGCTGTACTAATCGGCCCTCGACTAGATGTACTTGCTCGGCTGCGCTGGTCTGAGCTGTATTCGACTGCCTTTGGCTGGGTTTGGCTCGGCTGCACTCGGCTCTTTGGGTAGGCATAGCTGGGCTGAGCTCGGCTACCTCCGGCAACGATCGGCTTGCTTGTGCTGGGCTCGATTGCACTAGGCTGATTTCTATTGCTCTGCTTTTGACTAAGTCGGCTGTGCTCGGCTCTTCGGTTGTGTTCGGCTACATTCGACTGCCTTCAGAAGTCTTCAGCCAGGCTAGCCTAAGCTTGGCTCCCTTTGGCTGCACTCGACTGCTTTCGTCTGGGTTGGGCTCGATTCAGCTGGTGCTCGGCTGAGTTTGTCTGAGCTGCGGGCAACTCCCTCCCTTTGGGTTCTATGGGTCATGAATTGATTTGGCTCAGTTCGTTGCTTTCGGTTGTGCTGAGTTCTTTGGCTATCTTCAGCCGCATTCAGCTTGTTTGTGCTAGGTTCGGCTCCACCAGTGCTCTATTCGTTTGGTTGGGATCGACTGAGTGGTGCTTGCTTGTGCTCGGTTTAGCTGCGCTCCCCCTAGCTGGGTTGGGCTCTCCCATCCACAATGCTCGATTGCGCTAGGCTCGTCTAGGTTTGGCTGGGCGGCGCTAAGGCTTGAGGGTGATTTAGAACTAAGTAGGCAGTCTGGGAGAGACAGCCGCTCGATGGACGCGGCACTCATTCCTCTTCCTGGGGATCCTGAGCGAAAGCAAAGGCCCGGGGAGCCTGCGCCTGCTCATCCTCCAGAAAGACCCCGGAAAGGCAAAGATCGCACGGTGGAATCTAAATCCCTTCCTGTGTGAAAGTTGAGATAACGCCTCCGACAAAGCAAATACCCCGACAATTTTGGAGCAGACCCCCCTCAGAGGCACTTGCCTCCCGGGAGTGAGGTGGGCGCTGACTCTACCACTAGCCAAGGTAGCTGAAACTCATGTAAAAGACTATAAAAAGAGGACCCTCTTCCCGCCTGCAGGACTGTTACTTATTTCTGGGCTATAGGAGAAGTCTGTACTCTTGCCGAAGAGGCAGAAAGATAAGATTTCCTATGAAGCTGGGAATGTGGCACAGTGGTAGAGTGCTTGCCTAGCATGCTGAAGCCCTGGGTTCGATTCCTCAGTACCACACAAACAGGAAAAGCCGAAAGTGGCACTGTGGCTCAAGTGGTAGAGTGCTAGTCTTGAGCAAAAGAAGCTCAGGAACAGTGCCTAGGCCCAGAGTTCAAGCCCCAGAACCGACAAAAAAAAAATATTTTCTATGATGTAAGGCAGCCCTTCCACTCTGCATTGGGGCGCTAATACGCACTCGCCAATAGCAGAGGGGCGTTTCCTCGTCTTCCCCTGACATCTTACTCTTACTTTCAAAGAAACTTGACCTCGACTCCTACTTCTTCACGTAATTCTCTTATTTGGTTTTCAACTAGTCTGTCTCCAGTGATAACAATTACTGTCTCTTTTCCCCTTTTTAATTTTTGCTAGTCCAGAACCTTGAACTCCGGGCCCAGTCACTGCCCCTAAACTGTTTTTGCTCAAGAGTTGGGCTCTACTACTTGAGCTATAGGTCCATTTCAGGCCTATTTGTGATTAATTGGAGGTAATAGTCTTACAGACTTACCTGCTTGGGCTGGCTTCGAACCACAATCTTCAGATCCCAGCCTCCTAAGTAGCTAGGATTATAGGCGTAAGTCACCAGCGCCTAGCTTAGCTTTGATTTTTGTATGTCAAGTATAAATCTATTTTGTATGTGTGTGTGGGGGCAGTTATGGGGTTTTAACTTGGGGCATAGGCAATGTCCCTTAACTTTTTGCCGAAGATTAGCACTCTACCACTTGAACCACAGCTCCACTTCTGGCTTTTTGCTGGTTCATTGAAGATAAGAATCTTATAGACTTTCTTGCGGTGGTTTGCTTCAAACTGTGATTCTGAGATCTCAGTATCCTGAGTAGCTAGGATTACAGGTGTGTGCCAACAGCGCCGTGCTCTTTAAAAAAAAAAATTAAGTAGTTATACAAAGAGGTTTCAATTCAACAAGTCAGTTTATGAGCACAATGCATTTTGATCAATATCACTCTTTCTATCGTTGAAACTCCTGACCCCGCTTGTGTCCTTTACTTTAAATTCTTTGTTGGACTGGAACAACAAATCCGAACACTAGACACTAAGTCTCCTCCTCTCCGCTGGGCTCGCTGCCGCAGGTAACTCGGCGATGTCTGGCTAGTTCGGCGTTTTGGCTACACTCGGCAGCGATCGACTTCACTCGGTTACACTCGGCTCCATTCATATCTGAGTAGCTCTGCTGTCGGCTTTCTTCGTGTGCTGTTACGTGCTTGGGCTGGGCAACGCAGCACTTGGCTGCGATTGGTTGCTCTCGACTGCACAGTCATGAGGCTGGGCTCGGTTTGGCTTCTACGGGCTCGGCATCGGCGGCCTTCGATGCGTGTCTGCTACATTCGTACGCACACTCGGCTGTCTTCGGCCTGGGCTCCGTCGCGGTCGGCGTTTTGTTTCGGCTCAGCCGTGCTCGGCTACGTTCGGCTTACCGGCGCTCGACTCTTCGGCTACGACCGGCCGATCGGTCGCGCTTATGCTCTTCGGTCAGGCTCGGCTCTTCGGCTAACATCGGTTCGGCCAAGCTCGGTTCTTCGACTAGCACCGGTTCTTCGGCCTCACTCGGCTGCTCTCGGCTCTTTGGCCGCGCTCAGCTTGGTGCTCTAAAACTAGGGTAGGCTCAGCCCTGCAGAGCTGCGCTCGGCTTCATTCGGCTTGCTCGTTATGTTCACTTCGGCTGCACTACTGCCTTCGGCTCTGCTGGGCCTCAGCGCCTGCTGTGACCGCTCCTGACCGCCATGAGGCGCTACCGCATGCCGGCGCATTCCGAAGGTGCTACAGCCACTAGACCCGGGGAGGGCGGTTTTCAAGCTCCGGGTCCTGGGGTGAGCAGAGAGTTCGCGACCACTGCGGGGAAGGGAAGGCAATGCACTCAGTAGCCAACTCGGCATCTTCCCACACCGCACCACACATGGCCCTGTAGCTCTGCGCGACCAGCAATGGAAGCCCCAGCCCAGCGCGGGAGACTCCTCTCTGCACCCCCAGCCCCAAGCGGGTTTTGCTCCTGTAGGAAAACTGGCAGACTTTGCCCCAGGCCTTCTAGCGGGGAGAGGTGCTTTGCAGCCTGGTGTGTGTCCCCTTCCCCACTGTAGGACCCCAAGGTGGCCGTCAGTGGGGATACACGTGTATCTTCGCTGCTGTGATAGGACATCCCCGACTCTTTGGTCAAAATGAGGTATTCGGTGGTCCACATTTCAGGGCTGGGCCGAGCTAGAGCAGTGCTGGTTCTGATGTGGGCCGAGAGGGGCAAGCAGAGTGACCCGAGTACAGTTTCTCGTGTGGACTTCAGACTTTGGATATGCACAGGCTTAAACTAACAGAATTATTATTATTATTATTATTACTATTAGTCGTGGGGCCTGAACTCTGGGCCTGGGCGCTGCCCTCAGCTCTTCAGCTCAAGGCTAGCATTCTACCACTTGAGCCACAGCACCACTTCCGGCCTTTTCTGTTTATGCACAGGAATCAAACCCAGGGCCTCATGCATGCGAGACAAGCACTCTACCACTGAGCCACCTTCCCAGCCCCTAGCAGAGAAATTGAATAAGAAATGCATCGATTCCCCCCCCCCCCACCCAACCTTATGCTATACATATTATAAAGTCCATTCATTGTAAGTTTACAATGCCTTTTACTTAATTATTTGTGCAACTATCACCACAGGCTGGTTTTAGAAGAACTCGACCACTCTCCATAGTTTCTTTAAGAATGTTTGGAGCGAATTTCCCCTCTCCCTCTTCTCTGTAACCAACCACTTTGCTGCTGTCTGTAGGTGATTTTTATGGCTTTTTTTTTTATCCTGGAGCTTGAACTCAGGGCCTGGACACTGTCCCTGAGCCTTTTGTACTTAAGCCACAGCACCACTTCTGGCTTCCTCTGAGTAGTTTATTGGAGATAAGTCTCATGGACTTTCCTGCTCATGCTAACTTAACCGCAATCCTCAGATCTCAGCCTCCTGAGTAACTAGGATTACAGTATGAGCCACTGGAGCCCAGCTTTCTTGCTATTTTATTTAAACAAGTTTCATACAATATTTTATATTTTCCAGGTTTATTAGTTAATAGCATTATTAAGTCTCTATTTCTTTTTTCTGGTTGAATAGTATTTCATTATATGGATATTGTTTTTCTATTCATCAGTTCATGCACATTTGAATTACTTCAACTTTTTGATGGTTACAAATAGTCCTATTGTGATCATTTCTATAAGAACTTTTTTGCAGGCCTTTGTTTTCTCTTGAGGGTGTAGCTACTAATGGAAATGCTGGGTCATAGGGTAAACCTTTTTAAGAACTTCCAGACTGTCAAAGTATGTGCAGTATTATATGTTCCCATTGATAAAAGTGAGGATTCCAACTGGCCACAATTTTTTGTCTTCTTTATTTGTCTCATTGTGGTGCTAATTTGCCTAGATTGAGTATGTTTTTGTTGAATTTGGTTTATCTAGTTTTACACACCATGGTAAATGTCTTACTTATTTATCTGTTTATTTACTTTTCTTTTTTCTTTCTTCTTCTTCTTCTTCTTTTTTTTTTTTTTTTGGTCAGTTGAGGGGCTTGAACTCTGGGCCTGGGCGCTGTCCCTCAGCATTTCAGGTCAAGGCTAGCGCTCTACCACTTGAGCCACAGCACCACTTCTGGTTTTCTGGTGATTTATTGGAGATAAGAACCTCACAGACTTTCTTGCGTGGGCTGGCTTTGAACTGTGGTGCTCAGATCTCAGCCTCCTGAGTAGCTAGGATTACAGGCATAAGTCACGGGCACCAGGCTTTGCTTGCTTACTTTTGATACTGGTCTTAGGGCTTGAACTCAGGGCCTGGGCACTTTCCCTGAGCTTTATTTGCTCAAAGTCAGTGCTCTACCACTTGAGCCATAGCTCCACTTCCAGCTTTTTTGTAGTGAATTAGAGATAAGAGTCTCATAGACTTTCTTGCCCTGACTGGATTTACTAGCCATAACTTAGTCTAGCACCAGTCTCACATGCACTGATTTTGAAATTGGACATTCTCACCCCATGTGCCTTGTCAATCTAAATGAAAGACACATGCTGAGCAGGCAGGAATGAGTGACTTCCCTACCACAATGCAGATACTTTTTTTTTTTTTTTGCTGGTTGTGGGGCCTGAACTCTGGACCTGGGCCCTGTCCCTCAGTTCTTCAGCTCAAGGCTAGTGCTCTACCACTTGAGCCATAGCGCCACTTCTGGCTTTTTCTGCTTATGTGGTGCTGAGGAATCAAACCCAGGGCCTCATGCATGCAAGGCAAGTACTCTACCACTGAGCCACCTTCCCAGCCCACAATACTTTAAAAGGGGTCTCTTGACTTGCTTTCTTCATTCTTATTACATGAATAGTATTATAGTACTATCATATCATTTCAGTAAGTCACCACCAAAATACTACTACTTTTCATTCAAACTTTCAAAGCAAAAGTAAAGTCTTCATAAGCTCTATGATATAGCACAAGTGATTGACCATTCAGGGGTTTCAACTCAGGGTCTTATATTTGCTAGGCTCACTTGCTTGGCTGGCATTCTACCATTTAAATCAGCCCTTCAGTATGGCTTTTTTTTGCTAGTTGAATGGAGTTGTCTTGTGGACTTGAGCTGACTTTGAAACAGGATATTTCACACCTCAGCCTCCTAAGTAGTTAGGATTTATAGACATGAGCCTTTGGTGCCTGACTAGTTTTTCTTTTAGTCTTTTTTTTTTAAATGGCTTTGCTAATATGGTCTAGCAGCTTTCAACCTCTATGAAGCAAACAATTATTCTAGTCTATTCTTTAGTAGACCTGCACTACAAGGGCTTATATTTGGAATTTAATAAGAAATTGTGGATATATATATATATGTATATATATATATATTTGTTGTTGTTGTTGATCATGGGTCTTGAACTCTGGGCCTAAGCGCTATCCCTCAGCTCTTCAGCTCAAGGCTAGTGCTCTATCACTTAAGCCACAGTACCACTTCTGGTTTTCTGGTGTTTAATTGGAGATAAGAGTCTCACGGAGTTTCTTGTCTGGGTTGGTTGTGAGGTGATCCTCAGAACTCAGCCTCCTGAGTAGCTAGCTAGGATTACAGTCCTGTATGTGTGTGTGTGTGTGTGTGTGTGTGTGTGTGTGTGTGTGTGTATTCTCTTAAGTGCCTCTATTCCTGCTTTTGCTCCTTGGCCCACAATACTAACCATTACCTAGCCTTGACACAAAAGTTTGCTGACTCCTGGTTTAATGAAATAAAAAGAGGAATAGAAACCAGTGGCCATGTACTTGCTTGATCACCTTGTAAAGTCACTTTGTTTGGTTTTCATTTTTCTTCTTTATAAAATGAGAATAAGGGGGCTGGGAAAGTGGCTCAGTGGTAGAGTGCTTGCCTGGTATGCATGAGGCCCTGGGTACAATTCCTCAGCACCACATAAGCAGAAAAAGCTGGAAGTGGTGCTGTGGCTCAAATGGTAAAGTGCTAGCCTTGAACAAAAAGAGAGAATAAAAAACAGGTGAGGGATCTCTGTCTATTTGGGAGGCAGAATGGCAAGAGAAGGTGGAGAAATCAAAGTTCAGGGCCAGCTGGGCATAAAAGTTTGTGAGATTTACCTCAAGCAATATCTAGGTGAGATAGCATGTCCATGCTATTCCAGCTACAGGAAAAGCACAATGGCTGGGTGTGGTGGCACGTACCTGTCGTCCCCATCAACACTGAGAAAAGTAGGATCACAGACCATGGAAAATACATGGGAAATAACTAAAGCAAAGAGGACGTGGATCTGTGGCTTAAGTCGTAGAACCTTCCCAGCAAGTGTGATGCTTGGGCTTCAATCTCTTTACTGCCCCTCCTACCTAAAGTTGATAAGGGGTGATGGAGCTATGCGGAAAAACTTCAAGATAGACCCCCCCCCCTTAACCCACTAAGGTTTTTTTCTGGCCTGGCCACTGTCCCTGAGCTCCTTTTGCTCAAGACTAGTGCTCTACCATTTGAGGCACAGTTCTACTTCTTCCTTTTTCTGAGTAGTTTATTGGAGGTAAGAGTCTTATGGCCTTTTTTTGCCCCAGCTGGCTTCAAACCATGAACCTTGGATCTCAGCCTCCTGAGCAGCTAGGATTACAAGCCTGAGCCACCAATGCCCAGCTATAAGTTTTAAATTAACAAATTATACAGATAATTGAGTTATTGTTATATACTAAGAACTATTAAAGGCCTTGGGAGTATAGTAGGAAACAAATTTCCTTGCTTGAAAAAGACTACTCATGTACACAAGAAGACACTTAAGAAGCAATGTGTGGTGTGAAATCAGATTCAGATTCGATCATCTATCTGGGACATTTTGGGGGAAATGAGAGGAATTTGATATGGCTGCCATTAGATGAGATGAGACCTTAATAGCCATGGAATGAACTGAGAAGCAGTTACAAAATGGGCATAGTATTCTCATTTAGGTAAAGAATGCATGGATGTAGAAAAGAATTAGAAGGATATATACTAAGAGGTTAATAATAGTGGTCATATTGTGTGTGTGTGTGTGTGTGTGTGTGTGTGTGTGCATGCGTGTATGCGTGTGAGCATGCCAGTCTGTGAAATCAGGATCTAGGGCACTGTCCCTGAGCTTCTTTTGCTAAAGGCCAGAGCTCTACCACTTGAGCTACATCTCCACTTCTGGCATTTTGTGGTTAATTGGAGATAAGAGTGTCATGGGCTGGCTTTGAAACTTGATTCTCAGAACTCAGCCTCCTGAGTAGCTAGGATTATAGGCATGAGCCAGGAGCACCGGGCTAACAGTAGTCATTTTTCAGTGATAGGAATACAATATTTTCTGTTGACTTATTTTTGTTTTGTACAATGATTATTCATGCATTTTTGTAAAAATCAAAGGTTATTTCTAACTAAAAAAAAAAAAACTAATCTTCATGGAGTTTACATTCTGTTGCCTTTGCAAGTATCTATAATGTCAAATTTGTCCACCTTTTTCCCCCCTGAAGAATAACTGCAAATCTGGAGGGTGTCCCCTTGCTCCTTGACTACAAGGGATCCAGGAGCTGTAAGGAACAGGTATGGAGCAGTAACTGCCACTGCCACTGAGTCCCTTGGAGTAGTCAGGTAAGCAGAACTTTCTTTTTTCTTAACTTTTATTTTTTTAATTTTTTTTTTTTTTGGTCGATCATGGGGCTTGAACTCTGGGCCTGGCGCTGACCCTCAGCTCTTCAGGTCAAGGCAAGCGCTCTACCACGTGAGCCACAGTGCCACTTCTGGTTTTCTAGTGATTTATTGGAGAGAAGAGTCTCATGGACTTTCCTACCCAGGCTGGCTTTGAACCTCAGATCTCAGCCTCCTGAGTAGCCAGGATTACAGGCGTGAGCCACCAGCACCTGGGGCAGAGGTTTCTTAATGCCCAAGGCTTTCCAGTGCATAGGATTTTGCAGGGCAGGCAGCACTTACAAGGAGGATCTTCAAGGAGGTCGTCCACAGTGCCTATCTAAGCAGTGTTTAGGAAGGAGAGGCCCCTGCCTGTCACTGAAGGTACATGCCTGTGTTGTATGGCTAAACAGGCTACCACACCTGAAGCAATTAAGCATCTGAATCACATCACTAGTCCTCTTCTTCATCCAGCCATGGATCAGCGCAGCATAGCCTGTGCAGCAAATCTGACCCACTCCTCTGCCCCCCACTTTTTTTGGTACCAGTCCTAGGGCTTGAATTCAGAGCTTAGGTACTGTCCTTAAGTTTTTTGCTCAAGGCTAGCATTCTGCCATTTGAATCACAGATCCAACTTTTAGCTTTTTAAGTAGTTAATTAGAGATAAGAGTCCCACAGCCTTTTCTGCCTGGGCTGGCTTCAAACCACGATTCTCAGAACTCAGCCTCCTGAATAGCCAGGATTACAGGCATGTGCTACCAGCACCAGCTGCATACTCTTATTTTTGTAAGTCATGTTTTGGGGGAATCATCCACACTTAACTTGTGTGCCTATGGTCTGTCCCCACTTCTGCTCTAGAGACTGTCTATAACCCACAAAGCCAAAAACATTTACTCTCTGGGCCTTTACAAAAAAGTTTACAGATCTTTTCATTTTCCTATTCTCAATAGAAAACCATCTCCATGGGCATTCCTGTGAGGGAGAGAATGCTCACTTAGGATTGTATTGATGAATTGGTGATTAGCTTTATTAGTGTGTTTAGAGTTTTCAGCTGTGGCTAGTTCTAGATTAGATTTCTTATTCTGCAAAGCTGAGTTGAAGGGCAGGCCATGAACAATGAGAGCGAATCCATGCAGATGGATACTCCCTGTGTGCTTTATCAACAGCTAGGAGATTGGTGTCCCATTCATTTAGCTAAGGTCTTCGAATGCTTCTCATTGAGTGCCAGTGTCACCTCCTCTCAGAAGCCTCCTCTGTAACACCCTTCACAGTCAGTCCCCCAGCGTACCCCTCAATGCTACCTGCTGAACATTGGACTTCACCTCGTTCCATGGGAGAAGTGAGCACTACATTCATTTGTTCTCACTGTGTTTGTGAGCCTAGCACAGTGTCAGGCACACAATATCTTACTAGCTATGTATCTGTGGCCATGCAATGTCTCAACCTCAGCTTTCTCCTCTGAGAAGTGGAGTGATACCTAATAGTGGGGCTTATTAATGACAGGAGACTGTAGCAAGTAACTCTTCAGCGATTACCATAGCCAAGATGTAGAATCAACCCAGATGCCCCCTCAGTGGACAAAAGGATCAAGAAAATGTGGTAGATACACAATGGAATTCTACTCATCCATCAGAGAGAATGATATTGCACCATTCATAAGGAAATGGAAAGAACTTGACAAAAATTATATTAAGTAAGCCTGATGCAAATGTACATAGTTTGTATGGTTTCCCTCATTCGTGGTAACTAGAATGTGCCTATAAATCTACAAGTAAACACACTGGATGGTAAAAGAGAAAAAAATACACTGGGAAATGATATATTATACAAGACTCTAGACATTGACACAGTGAGACCAAAGGAGGCTATTCTTAGGATCATAAAGATACAATATCTATGTGCATCTGATCATATAATATTTATTGAAATGAACTCCAGGAAATGGAAACGAGATTTTTTTCTTTGTTGCTGTTTTTGTTTTCTTTTCCTTTTGTCTTGTTTGTTCGTTTATCTGTCTTTGGGAGGGTAAAGGGGCACAGAAATCGAGAGACAAAAGGTGAACCAATGCAGCAATACTCACTGGATACTGAGTTAGGAATGAACTATACAAGTTGTAGGTGAGGATGGGAGGGAAAAACTGGGAGACAGCGAGGGATGGGGGACATTGTTCAAAGAAATGTAATCTCTATATGACTTATGTACCTATAACTTCTCTGTACATCACCTTTGCAATAACAATGAGTACGTTTTTTTTTAAAAAAGTTAATATGATCAAGAAGGGACCCAAGTTGGAATGCGAACACACAGGAAGGAACTTAACGGTATTACAACTAAATGAAGAGAACCATGTAAGGATAGGAGAAAATAAACAAGGTATTGGGGACTGAATTGTGTTCCCATACCAATTTATACATTTAAGCCTAATTCTCACTTCCTATTTGGAGATGGGACCTTTAAGGAATAGCTCAGTTTGATGAGGTTGTAATCATCACATCTTCTGTGGAAAGAAAGGACCAGCAGGAAGGTAGGTGCGAAGAAAGGCCATCTGCAAAACCAGGAGGGAAGCTTCATTACAAAGCAACTTTGTGGCCATGTTGATCTTGGCTTTTAATCTCCAGAATGGTGAGAAATCAATTTCTATTTTTTCTGTTACCATTTGTAGTATTTTATTATGATGTCCTTTAAGCTAAGTAATTTTGGAAAACAATATGTTTTTTTTCCAGCCCTGGGGCTTGAACTCAGGGTCTGGGCACTGTCCCTGAGCTTCTGTTGCTCAAGGCTAGCACTCTATCACTTGAGTCACAGCTGTATTTTTTGCTTTTTTTGGTAGTTTATTCTAAATAAGTGTGTCATGGATTTTCCTGCCCAGTCTGGTTTTGAACCAAGATCCTCAAATCTTAGCCTCCTGAGTAGCTGGGATTGCAGTCATGAGACACTAGCACTTGGCCAGAATATATTATCTCAATTTAGTCAGGATGAACAGTTAGACAAACCCTGAACTGAAACTAATTAGTATTTTTGAAAAATCTATGCCAATGGGAATAAAACAAGACTGAGAAACCATTTTAGGCTGAGGAAACTTCAGGAGACCTATGTGATCCTAAGGAGACCTATGTGATCCAGATAAAGGACATTCGTGGGGCAACTAGAGAAATCATATATGATCTATAGATCATAATTACTTCCTTATGCTCTATAGGGTATTTACTCTTACCCAAATATCCCTGGGTAATCTGATTGCTCTGTGTAGTGTGGCTGATAGAAGGGCCAGAATTAGGTGGGGAGACCAGTTAGAGGCATTGCAGCAGGGAAAATGATAGTAGTGGAGACAGAGAGGGATGGATGCATTGTTCTGCCTGGGGCTTAAACGCAGGGCTTGGGCACTCTCCCTGAGCTTTTTTGCCACAGTACTACTTCCAGTTTTCTGGTGGTTAATTGGAGATAAGAGTCTCATGGTCTTTTTTGCCTGGGCTGGCTTTGAACTGCTGGATTACAGATGTGAGCCACCAACACTCATATTTCAGGATGCATTTTGACATTTCCATGGAAAGGGCATTGTACAAAGTACATAGAAGGGGGAATAACTCATTTATAAAGGTAGTTCTCTGAGCATACTTTCAGATATAGTGTGGAACAGAACTTTAAATCAACTACTTTTCTCCAATTCGGAAGAATTTCAACAGTAAAATAAGTTGATACATTTCTCCACGTGCTTTCATCTTTCCTTTCTCTTGTTTCTGTAGGTATCTTTTCCTTTGAAATATCCTATTCACTTCCTTTGTCCCTAGTGATTTTCCTTGTAACTTCCTAAGAACAAGCCTGTTCCTTTCTGTTATTTCCACTAGAGGGCACTCCTTTCCACATATAGGTCATTTCCCCCCCTTTAGACATTGAAGATTTCCACAGATAAAATGGCAAAGCAAAGGAGAAATAGTAGGAAGTGAGAACTAACATCTCCTGGGACTGGATGCTCAAATGCCATTTCACTGGTCATATTGTGTTTTGATATGGTTCTAGTCCATGTGTCAGGATTTCTCCCTTTTGAGAAAGGTTAGACCAACGACTTCGTATTTGTTGTATTTCTTAAAAAAAAGATAAAGAGGTTGTGGCATGTATGAGAAATACTCAGGGAAAATGACTGCTTTTTTTTTTTTGCTGGTCCTGGGGCTTGAACCCAGAGCCAGGACTCTTTCCTTGAGCTTTTTTTTTTTGCTCAAGGACAATGCTGTGCCACTTGAGCCACAGCTCTAATTGTTGTTGTTGTTTTTGTCTTGTTTTTTGGTGGTTAATTAGAGATAAGAGTCTCGTGGACCTTCCTGCCACCTGGGCCGGCTTTGAGCCAATATCCCTAGATGTTAGCATCCTGAATGGCTAAGATTACAGGTATGAGCCACCAGCATGTGGCTCAAATTGCCTACTGTTTAGCTGGGGTAAGGTAAGAGTGTCTCTAGGATAATGCAGCAAAATAAAACTATAGACTTGTAAAAAAAACATTTCTTTCTTCCCAATCTACTTCATTCATTCCAGCTGCAAGTCCATATGAAGTGTAAACTTCATGTCACATGTTGTTGTCCATACAGAGTTTCATTTGTAAGCAAAACAGGCCAAGTCACCAACCTCATGGAGCTGATATTCATATACAGCAGTCAATAAGAAAGACAAAGACCACACTTAGTACATTCGATCGGGATAAAGATACAAGAGGAAAAGTATGCAGGATCTGTAGGCCATTGCAAGAATTCTGACATTTACATGAGGAATTTTGAGAGGAGAAGAGTGATGACTTCTATTTTGAAATAATTTCTCTAGTTGTTTTGAGGTAAATGAATGGTAAACGAATTGGGAAGAAATTATTTGATCTTTGGATATATTCTGAAAGTAGAGTCACTGTGTATGCTAACAGATCAGATGAAGGATGCAGAGAAATCAAGTTAAGCAACTTCTCCATGTTATACACCATCAAT